GGGTTTAGGCTTTACAGTGGAGGGCTGACGGTTGAGGGTGTAGGGTGTACTCCAACCCCCCGGGTCAACGACAGAATACGGTCTATGTCGGGAAAGTATAGTATAGTAGCTGCATCTGCAACAACATTGGCAAGTCGAATCCACGTCGTAGCCACGGTGTGCTCAAATCGCCCCAGCAACTGGCACTTCTTTGCAGTTCAACCATCGTTGGCTTACAGCTGCCCGCGACCAGTACATGTGAGTTATCCTAAGCACGGCTTCCGTCGACAGACTTTGTCACGACAAACACGTATCAGTCTCTCTTGTCGCTCTTTGTCTCTCTCTCTCTCTCTCTGTCTTTCTCTCTCCCTCCCACATGTCTACTCTCTCTCTCTCTCTCTCTCGCTCTCGCTCGCTCTCTTCGTCGCTTCCCCGAGTTTGCTCCTTCCTCCGAACATCTCCCAACTCACGCTCTAAAACACGTGCGCCCAATCTGTGGCGGGGGGATTTCGGTGGTACACTTTGGGTGTGAATGTAGGAGCTTCTCTAACAACTAACACATATGGCTGCTTTAATGCTTGAACATTCGCTTAAAACCCCATGGTACGATCATGTTGCCTCGATCTTCAGATGGTAGGATGTAGTCATAGACAGAGCTGGACAGAGAGCTCCCCTTGAATTAGCTTCGGCAGATCCTCCATACTAGTCGCCTAGTAAGAAGAATGGGAGTAACAATAGCAGTAGAGGTAATACAGGTATAAATAACAACACTAGGCAGAAGAAGACTAATGGCAGCCCTCAATAGAGATTACGGTGCCAAACCATGTCTCGGCCACCAGGTTCAATCGCCAGCTGTCTCCGTCACAGTCCTTGCCCCACGTGCCCACTCTGTCCGCAGCTTAAATTGAAACACATAGGTTAGCAGAGGGTTCTGTGGCATATCACATGATATCGCGGGGATCGGACATGGAAGGAGGCTTCAGCTACGTTTCCGAACTGGTTCAAGAGAAGCTTTTCATGCCCTCAGGATGTGCTCATACCGGTAGGTCGCATGAATCAATGATCTCAACGGATACACTACCTTAACTCCTCCGCAAGCACCCTAGCCTCCCGGAAGCTGTGCATGAGATTCAAGACCCCCAAATCATTGTAAGTATCATAGGGATCCTTAGGGGTGTAGGGGGAGGGGGGGTAGGGGGCCTTAAGGCCCATAATAAGGACTAATAAGGCCTATTTAAGGAAATACAGTCCCCTACACCCCTCCCCCCTACACCCCTAAGGATCCCTATGAAAGTATAAATGTTGAAATGTTCAAGATTTTCGGATCCCCAAACCCTCAACTCGCTGAACTCCTAATATTCTCCCGACAGACGTATCGCCCTGTGATCCCCAAAGCCCTATTTCAAAGCATTAAGGCTATTCGTCCCTTCGATTCTATCACGTTTTAAGAGTTAAGAGTTTAGGGTTTAAGAGTTTGAGAGTTTGGGGTTTAGGGTTTAAGACTTAAGAGTTTGGGGTTAAAGAATTAAGAGATTAGGGTTTAGGCTTCAATTCTTGGTGTGCGTGGTCTTAAACCCTCAATCATAGGGACCCTTCGGGGGGGAATGGGGACTGGGGTAGAGGATTATACTTCAGTACATAGGCCTTATTGAGTCCTTATTAAAAGGCCCCCTACTCGCCCTCCCCCTACTAATCGTCTAAGGGTTTCTGTAACTAAACCCTTCCCTACTCGGGACTGTCCCAAAGGCGGTCCCGGGCATTCCGGTTGAAGTAATACGGGGGCCTTGATAATTAGAAGAGGGTTCCCTTAAAGGGCTCTTAAAAACGGGCCCTATAAGGCTTGCTATAAGGGGATGGGGGTTTAGTTTAGGGGCCTTAATAATTAGAATAGGGTTTTGGGCTCCTTTGTAGCATAGTGAAAATAAGGAACCTTATGTAATGATATTGGTAATTATTCAGGCCGCTGTAGTAGGCTGCCCTCAGGGCCCAAACAGCCAGAAAGACTTGAGACTTGCAGGCTTTAGAGAGTTCCTTGAAGGGGTCTGTAAGAGGTTTTAGCAGGAGCTCTGAAAAGGTTCCATCAAAGCTTGAGGATTGAGGAAGTGAGTTTAGTCTCAATCGTTGTGGTGTTTTGTTTTGGCTACCTTGGTTTTCATTGTAATATCGTGCACAAAGAGCTGGTTACCTCCCAAAGAAAGAAACAACAACAGAGGCCACACATAAAGCCCCGGCTGTCGGTACGTGCATACAAGATGGCTCATACTAGGGCTCTACCGTAAGGCCCCTAAGTAGTTCTTTTTATGGGTTCATATTTAGAATCTTATGAGGTAATCCCAAAAAGGAACTACTATGGGGCCTCTGGGTATGTATTTTTACACCCAGAAGAGCCGCAACGATTTCGGGTTTCGGTTGGCCGCAAGCCCTGCGAAGCTCAGGCGCGAGCTGGAGAGGAAGCACGCTGCTCGCGCCCCAGTCAAGTATGGCCGACACTCTATCAACGGTTCGGGGTGAAGTGTTTAGAGCTGTAGGGTGAGGGTTTGGGGGGTTGTGGGATCAAGGTTTAGGATTTTGGGACTGAGGGTTTACGGGTTCAGGCCGGGGTTTTCAAGAAGATCTACTTCTCCGAAGGCTGGAAAGGATGAACAAACATGCAAGCTTTCGCGGCGGTTTAGAGATGGATTCGGATGGTAGATAGCTCCGCTTGAATTTTGCATGCTTTTCTCTTTCTGGTTATCAGGCAAGGAACCCATTCTTTATCTTGAAACTTGCACGAAGCCCTTGTCCGGGACTACGAAGTGATGCTTTGGGTGGGCATGCGGTACCCCAACGATCTAAGGACACATATACTAAGGCTTTCGGGCCCAAAGACCATACTATAAAAGGCTGTTGGGCTATTTCGATCCCCGGGGGTAACTGAGCAGGCGGGGCCTGTCATACGAGAAGTCCGCGGCACTTTCCAAAAATGAGGATCCCCTCATTTTCATTCATTTTCCACAGTACCGGTTCGACCATCTGGTAAGCACGCAATCACCTGGTACAGTGAAATCGGACACTGAACGGTTTCTCAGACTGCTATTGTTGCGAAAAGAACTTTGTTGACAGTACCATGTGTCTTAAATCCGATAAGCCATCCATGTAGACGTACCTGAAATTTGTGTAGATAATTATACTACACGCAACCTTGCTGGTTTCACGAACTTCTCTCGCAGGACCTTTGCCTGAAAGCAAGACTTGCTTCATAAAGTTCACTCATCCTCCAACATCGGAAGTCACTGTGACGCCACTTCTCCTCACCAAAGGTTAGGTTAGGTGTGTATGTGCTTTTCATTATGCCAGCATGGCATGCCCTAAATCCTGAAGTAAATCCTAAACCCTTCGCCCCAAACCCCGAACTCCTGAATCCCTAAGCCCGAAACCCCGATCCTTTAGCCCCTACGCCTAAACCCTAGCCCGAAGGGTCACCTCCGAAGACCTCAGGAAGGCGATGTGTCTATGCAGCACCTGAACTCCGCGAAAAGCCGGGCACAGGCCCGGGGCGAGTGGTCTCAAGTTCCATTACCGGCCGGGGGACTTCGGCAACATGGGTTGCTGTAATTGATATCACTGTGGGCTGCGATAATAATTTACTGTCACAAGGTTAATATAAGGAGGCTACTACAAGGGCTATGAATGAGGCTCCTTAAAAGATTATCTGAAAGTTGCTATAGGGTTGAGGGTGGAGGATTCCTCGAAGGGTTCCTTCAGGGCTTCCCTAGTGTGGGTTTTCAGGTCTAAGTCCAAGGTTGCTTATAGATGTAAACGGGCAGGCAGCCAGGGTGGGAGGAAGGGAGGTAGATAGGTCCTAGATATGTATGCAGGTGTGTATGCACAGATGTCATACACATATCTATCATAAATACATACATGCATACATGTCACTTGCCTACCTACCTACCTACCTATACCTACCTGCCTACATACATACATACGTGCATGGAGACTGGCACAGAATATGCATGGTGCAGCATACCTTGATCAGATACCTCATCAAGGGCTGGTTTGGCTGGTAGGGTTCTCAACACAGTTTTGCATTCCGCATGCATAAATCCCGAACCATGGCCAAGATTGCTGACCATATCCATATATATATATATAGAGAGAGAGAGAGAGAGGCCTTAAAATAGTTACCTAAAGCATTTCGTCGGTTCCCTATTCTAGCTATAGTAAAACATATCCCAAAACCCTTTAATTACTCTAATCCTTAAGGCCCCCACATTCATTCCCTGAGCTGCAAGTCATAAGTAAGGTAGCTATAATTTGAACCCTCATTAGGGAACTTATAACCCCACTTACAACTACCCATGAACCTCCAAGTGGACCTTGAACCCTAAGTCATGGCTGGTTTACTTCCATCCAAGAGCGTCGCTGCTCCGCGCAGCCGTTTCCACGGCAGCAGAAGCCCAGGGTTTCAAAGAACCCAGTGGTGGTGGGCACTTCAGGGTCGACTGATCACCCAAAGGGTCCTATGTACTGTTATGGGGGATACTCCCCTTAGTCATAATAGTAATTCCTAATATGGAAACCCCACATTCTACTATATCGGTACATAGGACCCTTTGACTGATGGTGAACCTGGTTGACTGTCTAAGGTCAAAGGGGCTGCAGAGTTTTGGGGATTTATCGGTTGGGGCTTTGGAGTTCTGAGGTTTACGGTTTCGGATCCGGTAGTGCTTCAGAGATTTCAGGGATCCTAACATGGACTCAGAACTCAATACTTTGTATGTTTTTCGGTGCGCAAGGACTCCACCTCACCAAAAGACCCCGACTTGCTAAGACTCCCAGATGGGTTCTTGAGGCTTGGGCCTTCGCAGGATCGACTCTCTTACCTTTGGTTAGTAGGGAATGGTGGAATGGGGTACAACTATAGCTACTATTACTACCATACTACTACCATATAATTAACTATCATATTACTATCATCTTACTACCATGTAACTACTATTACCACCATTCCTCCATTCCCTACTAACCAAAGGTAAGACATGGGCAACCATCCTTCGGCACTGCAGGAGGTGACGCGTGTGCTGGACACCTCAGTGGCCTCCTTGGGCGCGCTGAGCCGTATTGTCACAGACTCGCAGCAGGCCGCTCGATTGGGAGAGCTCATCTCCAAGCATGATTTCCCGGTGCTTCTGCGAGCTCTTACTTCGCGAGAACGTCTTCCTGCCGATTTCTTTCCAACTTGGATCCGGAGAGCAGGGGGTTACTTCCCCAAGTTTGCGCAGGTCCTGTCTGTCCGTGCAGATTTGATTGACGATCCTGAAGTTCTTGCTGGTTTGAGTCGCTGCCTGGAAGATATGCCGAAAAGGCCGAATGCCGATGTGGTCGCGGTACTGGAACATGTCGGCTGGCACGATGCGTCTGCGGGGCTGGGGCAGGCCTTGAATGCAGGAACTGTCGCACAAGTGAACCAGATGAGTCTCTCGGATATCCAAGTGTATCGCTTTGCCTCGTTCTGTTTTGCGGATCCAGTGGACTGTGGGGTAGGTATGTCTTTAACAGCTTCTTTCCATGACAAGAACCCGAGAAGCTCAAACCAAAGTAAGGTGAAGTACAGAGCTTAAGCGGATACTCTACTTTTGCCAGATTCCGAAGAACTGCCAGCCTTATACCCGCAACCCCAAGGGCCTGAGACGTTACATTAAACCCAAGACCGTGCACGTCATAGGGGCTCTTGAAGACACATGGGTGGTTGTCAAATTATGGTCCCCTTTTGGGTACCCTAAATAATAGATGCCGTATTATAATAGGCCCTTATTCCCTTTTTTAGGGTTTAGGTTCTCTTATAACACCACTTATCCCAAAAAGGGCACCCTTTTTATTCCTAGCTTACTCTTGGGTCTAGAAAAGGAACCGTAATTTTGACAACCACCCACATAAGCGCACAGCCCAAGTCGTCAAGTCCATACAAAGCCTCAAGGCCGAAATTAGGAGTTTCCGAAAATTGGGGGGTACCTCATTTTGGGCGTCCTTATAATAAGGGTCCTACTATTTAGGGTACGATATTAGGGTCCCCTAGTTTCTGAAACTCCCAAATCTTACAACATGCGATAGCTAAATGATACTTACCTGAGGATTCTCTATATTGTGCCCTACAACATCCACAAGTACCCTTACCCTGAAATGTCAACACTAAACAAACCTTAAGCCCTACACCGCAGGAAAAGCTTTACCTGGACCCTGAAAGTATGTAGGATAGTAGCCCTTTGTAGGTGTTGGGCCTGGGACCATCACTTCACCTACGCTTGCGGAGCTTACTTAAAGGATCATGGGACTTGGTAACTAGGGTTATAATTACTGTAGGGTAGCTATACTTATAACTACTTTTAACCCCAATTAAGGTACTTATAACCTTACTTACAAAGTCCCATGATCCTTTAAGTAGGTACTGGTTCAACCCCCAAGGTCTCTACGGCCGTGCAGTCCTCAAAGTCACCTTTCCCGACGTTCAGCGTCGCTTTGTCACCGACTTCCGATTGTTCCTTGACCTTCATTCAGGGTTTAAGCTTTGGGGTTTAGGAATTGAGTTTTAGGCTTAGAATTTAGGATTTCTGCGGTCAGGGTGTAGGCTGGCTTTCTTGGAGCTCCTGAAAACCGTTAATTACAATCCTAAGCCTGGAAAACTCAGTCGGCCGTAGATTAGATGCCACAAGCCCCATGGACACACTGATACCCTGAGCCCGCAAAGCCTACGCGACTCCAGCAAGGTTTTCTCACGCCCAAGCTATCCTTCGCGCACTGAATCTGCAGGATGACAAGGCTCAGTCCCTCGGACTGGGTTTCGAGAGTGTTAATTAATTGCTGCTGCTGCTTCTGCGATTATTGCTAGCACTGGTTGCGATCATGGTTTTCTGTTGCCAGAAGATCAGTATTCTGGTCCTTATTCACTTTAGCTGTTGTTACTACTACATTCAGCGTTATTCTTCCTACCATTGATGACGGGTGTCTTGGTTATCACTGTGCTGTGAAAACAGGTTGTCGCAAACGGTATCGTGTTTGTGATGAAGGGGTCCAGGGTGTGCCCCGGTGGTTCTGTTTTGATCAGCACACCACCCCGAAGCCTTAAAATTCCGAGTACCCAAGCCCCAAGACCCTAAACCCCAAGACCATATAGGGGCCTGAACCCTAAAGAACTGTGCCAGTCCTTTCTGCTTTGTCGTCCACGTGACTTGGCCAAATCGGGAATCTACCCTTGGCGGTTTGCCAGCACCTTCATCCACAGCGGCTAAACCCCTCAACCCGAGCCGACGCCAGCACCATCAACTCTTGATTCCGAACTCGAGCCTTCAGCCCTACATCACCGTTATACAATCCAAAGAGCCGTTTTGCCGCGATGGCTAGAGGTGTGTAGACCCTGGCCGTAAGCGTAAGTCGAAGATTCATATAGGGGCCTTAATAATGACATGTACGATTTCGGGGGTTCCTTATTATGATCATAGTTTAATAGGCCCCAAAACCCTATATCTAAGTCTTAAGGCCCCTATACCATAGAACCCTTGTAGATCCCTTATAGCCCCTTTTCAAGGAACCCGACTCTAAGCATTAAAGGCCCCTACATGAAGGATCGTTGGAGCGATGTTCGAGGCGGTTGGGAATCTTGGTGGCTCCTCAGAAGTCTTGTTCTTCCCAAATTAATTGAGGCCAGGTTGTTGGGACCCCTTATAGATCAGATCAGTTGAATATTATATACTATGTATGTATGCATATGTATATATATATATACACATATATACATACATATACATGAGCGATATTGGAATGTTTAGCGCTATTTATTCAAAGCCAGCTATTTGACATGTTCAGTCCATCGAGGAGCGTCGGTTCTGAGATTGTGGTTTCCAGGACCTCACCCTAAGGGTCCATGTACTCATATAGTTTATACTAACAGTTTATACGTTGGCCTTAAAGTACTCCCTATATAGGTACATTGGGCCCAAAGTAATATACTATTTGGGTACCCTCAACCCTAAACCCTAAACCCTAAACCCCCTAAACCCTAAACCCCAAAACCTTGGGTACATGGACCCTGAGGGTCCTCATGCCCGTCCTTCTGCAGTTGGGGGGGGGGGGGGCATGGTCTAGGCAGGCCCAGAGGCCGAGATTATATAGGTTCTATAGGGGTTTATAGGGTTCCTTTAAAGGGATCTATAAGGGTACCTTTAAGGAGTCTACCTTAGATCCCCAATACCTAACCTTTGAACTCTTTTGGGCTCTTATAGTTTAGTAGGAATCGGAAAATTCCTTTTATTTCTGTGGCTTGTTGGGGTCGTGAGTATATTTGCTGTGTAATTGCGTGTTAAGTCGCGCTGTGCCTATTGGCAATCGATACCGGGGCATCTAGTGAACGACTCTAGTGGTTAAAATCCTCTTCTAGAGCCTACCCTAGACCCTAAATCCCTCCACCGTAACCCCTAAACCCTAATTAACGCCCAAGCTCCTCCCAGAAAGGAAAAGCGAGGGTCACGTCCTACGGGAGTTTGACCTCACCTCTGAAGCGAAAGCTCTGTGGGGCGCACAGGAGTGCTCGGCTTGGTTTTGGTGGCCACGCTTTCGGATCCGGGCTTTGGGGTTTAGTGACTTAGGGTTACAGTTTCGGATTTTGGGTTTAGAGTTTAGGGTTACAGTTTCGGATTTTGGGTTTAGAGTTTAGGGTTACAGTTTCAGATTTTGGCTTTGGAGTTTAGGGTTTAGGGTGAAATTGGGCTTTGGGGTTTGTGGGGTACCCAACGGGTCCTATGTACCGATATAGTAGAATGTGGGGTTTCCATATTTTGAATTAGTCTTATGACTAAGGGGAGTATCCCCCATAACAGCACATAGGACCCTTTGGGGTAATGGGCTCGGGGCTTTAACTGCATGGCTCAAAGTGCGCAGGGGTGAAGGAATTATTGTTTGAGTTCGGCTCGTAGGTTCCCCTTCTCAAAGGGCAAAAGGAGGGACCCTTAATGGGGACCCCTACCCTATAATGGGCTATATAATGGGTATATAATAGCTATATTAACGGTATATCCCCAGGGGTCCTTATTGTTTATAGGGTTTAGGATACCCAGAGAACCCGATTATGCCTTAAATCATACTAGGGGTCCTATTATAATTTAAGGTATATTCCTGAAAAAAGGGGTTTGGGGGGATCTCTGAGTTCCTTTCGGATTCCGGGCTCAAGGTTGTCGTTCTGGAATCCGTTATGGCGCCCGGTTAAGGAACTTTATAGACGCCGCATCAGGGTTTATGTAATCAATTAGGGCCCAGGGTTCGGAGTTTAGGGCGGGGGGCCATAGATCGCCGGTCCGACGGCGACGTTTTCAATCAGGGTTTGATAAGTGTTTATAAGGTCTACTCCGGCAGTTTGGCGGTTGTTGCTCCCGTCATGTCTGCAAACGAAGGGGTCTTCGGGTTTGGAGGTTTCGGGTTCAGGACTTCAAGCAGATTGGGGGAGTGCTGCAGAGCCTGTTTTTGACATAGCGTGTGTAGATCTTCTCAGTCTTTTGGAGGCTTCCGTTCGTCAGTGGTGAGTAAGGCTGCAGCACTTCAGTTTGGTGTGTTCCGGAGAATGGTTTTGGAAGTTTTGGGGCTATGGGCCATGGTATGTTTCGTTACACGTTGTTCCGGAGTCTGGAGATATCAAAACCTGTATAGCCACAGTTGGGTCCTACCTTGTACCCTAAGCTCAGTAACTCAAAACCCTACACCCTAAACCCTAAACTCAGTAACTCAATACCCGAAACCCGAAAGCCTTTGTTGGACTGGGTTCGTAGCGTGTTTCGATCACTGAGGGGCGGAAGCCTGACGTTGCCCCCCCCTTAACTAAACCCTACTTGGAGGGTCGGGGGACTTAGTAACTGGTTGTTTTTGGGACTTATAAGTACCATAAGCCCAATTAGGGTCCCTTTTAGGGTACTTATAAGTCTACTTACTACCTACTTACGAAGTCCCCCGACCCCCCAAGTAAACCCTAAATTGCTAAACCTCGACAAATAACTGGCCCCGTTCATACACCACACATGAGCGCACACGAGATCAGGATGTAGAGTGCTTGTAAGTATCCCGAAACCATGCGTCCATGACCCTCAACCCTATAGCTTAACTGCAAATCTTAAAGAACCCTAAACCCAAAACCCCTAAACCCTATGCCCTAAACCCTAAACCGACCTTCAACCCTGAACTTGCGCCATGCAAACCCTAAGCCTTACCGCCGAACCTGAAAGCCTCAACCCAGCCCTACTCCAAGCCTCAATCGCAAGCTCTGTGGTAAAACCCGTAAGCCTGAACTAACCGTAAGACCTCGAAGCGACCCTAAACCCTAAACCCTAACCCCGAACCAACAGAGGAGCTACTTGCAGAGTGGCCCTCGGTCTACGAGTCGTGGACGGCGGCCATGACTGGCGTGCCTGGATGTATTCGTTGCAGGTTTGGGGTTGGGGTCTGCGAGGTTTGTGGTTTAGGGGTTGGGGTTTAGCGGTTAGGGGCTCGTTTTGTGGTGGTTTAGTCATTCAGTTAGGGGTGCAGAATTGGAGGAAGAATGTAACAGTATCCAGCTACAGCCCGATATACCATTGATATGCTCTCATGTCACATCATACTCTTGTTGCGAACCAAAAATTCGGGACTTTTTGGAACGCCCCTAAACTCCCTAAACCCTAATTTTGCCCTACATAACACCGTTCCCGGGCTTTCGAGCACTGTCATCGCGTTCTCTGACGGTTCGGCATGCTTGTCCCCAAGGTTGGTGATGCCTGAAGTGCGATGCCTTCCTCCCGAATCCAGCAGGCCCTCAAGCACCCAAAGTCCGAAGCTGCAAACCTGACCCAGCAAAGGTCTTGGAACGCGCTGCTGCGGCATTTCCGCCTCACCTCTTGCCCTTGCTGCAGGTGCGGGATGTCGAAATCGGCAGCTGGGACTAGGATGATGATGATGGGGATGATGATGATGATGATGATGATAATGAGGATGGTGGTGATGCTGATCATCATAAGGGGGATGGTGTGATGGCGATGATGATGATGACAAAGCTGAAGATGATGATGGTCGTGATGGTGATGGTGTAAAGCTGATGATGATAATGATGTTAACCATCGTTGCCACCATCATCATCAACATCATTGCTGTCACCATCAGCACCAGCACCATCATCAACAACAGCCTCATCATCATTACCATCGTCCAAAACATCACCATCCTCATCATCGTCATCATCATCGTATTCTTATGTTGCTTTTTGATTATGATTCTTTGCCGTCTTCATCTTCATATACATCATTGTCAACAGCAGCATCATCACCATCATCGTCATCGTCAACGTCATCGCCGCCAGAATCACAATCGAAAGTTTCATAATAGCCATCACTGGAATTGTCGTCCTCACCCCGATCACAGCTACCATCATCCTCACGGCCATCGGTAGCACCACTATTGCCATCATGAGTGCCACGACAGTCGTCATCATAGCTCGCATTCCTCCTTGGGAACCGCGAGATTTGTTTCCGACTTCACCGAGCTGGGTTTGCAGCCGCTGCAGGGTGGTTTAGGCCTTTCAGGCTTCGGCGTCGAGTGGTGATTTACATGGGCTTCATGTTCTCTGACTTTTCCTCTTGCAGAGGAGTTGGTAACCAGGCCAACTGGGCTTGCTGCAAATTAGATAGCAGCTGAGTCCTTCCAGAGGCGGGTTCCCGTGCTAAGAATCTTCTCGAGGTCCCACTTTTTGTGTCTCCAGTACTCCCGCTCCAAAAACACCTAACGATTAGCGCGTGTTTTCGGGCTTCTCCTGTCAATGCTTGACCAACCTGCTTGATGCATGTGCTGCCTGTCTTGTGAGGGCTTGGTTCGATGATGCCAATGCTGCTCTGTCTTCATTCAGAGAGCCAGTCCTGCAATACCAGCACTCAACACGGTTTCTATTCTTCCGATGCCGCACGATCCGAATCCCTAGGCCCTAAAGCTTAAATGCAATCTCCCAAACTTTGTGCTTCAGAAGCCCGCCTGAGCCCTGAGCCGTTCCCTCAGACAAACGTCCGCCAGATCCCCATGAACATACCCTGGGAGGATACCGGACATAGCTGCTTGGGATGAAGCATGGGGGCGTGCAGCACGCACCCTACACCCTCAATCCCCACAAGCTCGACTCAAATAGCACTAAACCAGGCAAGCTCTTTAACTCCAGGCCATCCGTCGTCCCCCTTCGAAGGATCGTGCCCCACTAGCTGATTCGAAGGTTCAAGAACTCAAATGGCTTGAGCCGACCCCCAACGCCATTTCTAGAATCTGAACCAAGTATAGACCCGGAGCCACAATCCTTCACATGAGCAAAAAGCAGGTGGCCCAAGAACAGTCCCGGACGTGGCGGATCGGGGTTCCGACACCCGTGGCTGATCGTGTGGCACCATCTGCCTTGGTCATGACGCATGCTGGAGGCTGGAAGTAAAGGTTGTGGGCTCTGGTGCAGCTGTTCGAGCCCAGGGCTTCAAGACACATAAACTCCCGCAGTCCGCGACATACGGGAATCATGATTCAGTTATGCCGGCATATATGTATGTGTATATATAAATATGTGTGTCCAATGATTAACTTGGATGTCGCAACAGTAGACTACAAATAACAGCGCAAAGAAGAGTAGGCTGAGTGGGCGGTCATGATGGCGTGTGCAGGGAGAAATCCTGTCAGTCTTGTGTTCAGTGCATTGTAGCAATGCAGCAGAACTGTCCTTGTGCAGCATGCCAGACGTGCGAATTGAGACGTCGCAAGTGAATCCAGGCTGTCGACTACTAGTATACAGCTGTGTTATGTACATATATATATATATATACACATACATATACATACACACACACACACACACGTACCTCAATGTTTACGTATTCAAGTGTTGGTACCCGACCGTCTTATACTACTTGCAATGCAGCTTCTCTGCGCCTTTCACCTTTTACGGCCCTACCCCTCGAAGCTGGGAGGAAGATCCCTGCAAGAGCTGGCAGAAGGAGGACCAGCAGCCCAGCAGGCCAGACGATCTTGAAGTTTCTTGCTTTCGGGTTTAATCTCTGCGTTTGTTTGCTACGGTCTTGTCAATAATTCCAGACCCTGCTCTTGTTCGACTTTTTTCGGATGGAGCTGCATGACCGCCTTCCCCCAATATGTTCCGAAAGCAACCCGGTAGCAGACTTGGAGGTCAATGAAGGCAGGAATGGTGTCCCACGTAGTGAGTTGGAGATTTCCGGCATCGACTAACTGGTGCTGGGATCCTTGTGGATGCTTTTGGTGCGTGGCACTCCCATTACATAAGTTCTTCTGACCGTATTCTTAAGTTCTATGCTGCCGCTTTCTGTGGTCATTCCCTTTACCTGAATGCGTTTCGGGGCTTACGATATTTGGATGTTCATGGGTAGTTATAAGCACAATTATAAGTAGGGTAACTATAGTTAAAACCCCTATTCGGGGACTTAAACCCCTATTCGGGGACTTATAACCCTACTTATAACTACCCATGAACCTCCAAGTAGTGTTTTCTGCCCGCCCTTCTAGGAGGCTGCTCTGGTATTCCTGGGCTTCGCCGTACCCTATCTTGGGTGGCTCTTGCTGTGCAAAAGCTCCTCCCACTTTGCCCACGTCGATCCGCACTTTGGCAACTTCCGCTGGGAACGCGAGACGGAGATGCTGTGGGTTTTAGAGGCTTGGTACAATTAGTATTTGGAATTGACGTGAGGGTTTGTGCTTAGCCTCCCAAAGGGGGTCCAAGTATGATTATGGTGTATACTTAGACCCCCAAAATAATTACCCTATAAGTATAGACCATAATGATACTTGGACCCTTTGGGCCTCAAAGTGCCAAGCAATCAGACAAAAAGGAAAGCTGTGCAGGACAAGCTGTTGAGTTCTCATGAATCAGATCGTAACTGCTATTTAGGGTTTAGGGTTTGGGAGCAATATTCCTACTCACGTGTTCTCAGTAACTACAGCTCTCAGAGCCTTTCTAACATTCATTTGAGATCAGCGTTGGGCGTTGGGAACTGAGGCCTTGCAAACACGCAAACTTGATTCATAAGGACCCTTAGGGGGGTAGGGGGTAGGAAGCCTTGATAAGGACTGGGGCAGCACGATTCAGCTCGATGACGAGCTGCGGCGGTCGCTATGTTTGTTGGTCTCCTGTCTCGCCGCCGGTGGAGAGGCCAGGGTTTAGGGTTCATGGCATTTGGGTCGTAGCAGTAGCGGTCGCAGGCGCTGAGCGAACTGTGATATTTCACGATGTCCAAACCGTGGCGGGGAATATGGTGGGTGTTGCCTTCACTATGTCTCCTGTAGCATGTGCCGCCGCTGCTGCTAGTACTGTGTATTGCATAAGTGCCATCGATCAAACCCACAGAACTACAAATAGACAGTGCTAATCATGTGTTATTGCATGCGTTGTTGTATTTCGACTCTGCATCTCACTGCTTTCTTTTGCTGCTTATACGCTTGCCCAGCACAGGGCTGGTTCCCATACTTGGTCGTAAGGGCCTTCTACCTTAACCCTCAGCTCCTCGGACCCATATAGTGAACTAAACCTGGACCCATGAACCCCAAAAAGGGTTTAGGACTTGAGGTTTATCCCTTGTACCTTCGAATTCTCGCCCGACCCCAAAAGCCTCTTGTCCAGCCTCCAGGATGCCGTTGTCGCGGATCTAGCGCGGCGAATTCTTACCTTTGGTTAGTAGGGAATGAAGGAATGGGTACTATTATACTATATATTACTACCATTCTTCCATTCCCTGCTAACCAAAGGTAAGAATTGGGGTGTCTGGCGATGATGACGTCCGAGTGGCTCAAGTGGCCACCTGGCGCATGGTTTTGGATCATGGGTACAGCGCGCAGATCAAACGTTCAGCCACATTAGCCGCATAGGCCTGGTTTCCCAAACTTCAAACCCTAAACTCTATACTTATTAGCCTTTGGAACATGGCATCGTTATCTTCCAGGGCTAACTACCCGACACGCTGTATCCTAACTCATTGGCGGACCTGTTGCAAGTGTTATAAGGCCCCTTGTCAAAGCATAATTGGCGCCAGAAGAACTCGTTCGATACGTGTTTGAACTTGCTAAGGGCTAAAGGGCAGGCACTGCCGTTTAAAGATGAACCATGTGTGGTATAAGTGGTATAGGACGCCCCCCATGACAATTGATCAACAGCTATCGTGCCCTGAACCCTAAACTTACTTAGCCAATGGGAGAACTTTAAACTTTTTGGCCTTATATATCTAATCTACCTCAGAAAGTTTGAACTTTTTTTGGCCCTGGTTAAAGAAGAACAGAGTAAACCCTGAACCCGAATCCTTTAGGAGATTGTGTAGTGTTGGACAGGCGAGGCAGTTCTGCAACACTCATCAGCATCTGCCTTTGGACATGTGAGATTTGGAAGTTCCTAGTTCGCTTTAGGGACCCCGTACCGTATGGGAGTTTCCGAAAATAGGGGACCGTAATATAGTACCCTAAATAGTAGGATCCTTATTATAAGGACCCCAAAATAAGGTACCCCTCATTTTCGGAAACCCCCACATAAACTCTTATAGTAACCCTTATAGTACCCCTTTTTGTAGCCCTTGTAAAGGAACCCCAAGGTACCCCTCATTTTCGGAAACCCCCCGTATAGAGATTCGGGATCGGGATGTGCCGAAGGTGCGTGGTCTCTTCAATGCCACCAGTCAGGCCTTTGGTGCTGCAACAGAAGATCGTGCTATGGGCGCCTTAAGAAATAGAATAGGGTTCCTTTAAGGGTTCCTTTTTTAAGGGGTCTATAAGGATTACTATAAGGGGTATTGTGGGGGTGTAACATGGGGGCCTTAATAATTTGAATAGGGTTTTGGGGCCCATTATACTATCATTATAATAAGGAACCCCCAAAATAATATAGATAATAAGGCCCCTACATTAATCCAAACGTCCTGCCTTCATGATCTTATTGCTGACATCGGGACTCTAGGCTCTGAAGCTGCCTTACCTGGACCCCAAAAGTGTGTAGAGTAATAGCCGTTTATAGGTCTTGGGCCAGTATTTTACCTACTTTTTGGTAGGTATAGATGCAGTGCCACCGACATTAATGCCTGCGTCTCGTGGATGGCGAATCTTGGAGTTTTACTGGGTTGTCCTTTGGGATCTTTGTAATTTCCCCTACTATTTTGTAGAGAACCATACTAGTAAATAATTTTGAAAGGGCTTAAAGGACAACTGAGTTTAGGTAGATGCAGGCTAGGACAATCGCCACTTGTGAAGCAACAGCATGCAACAGCATCGTACGGTCTACTATAGTGTGGTGCCAGCAACAGGATCACAAGCAAGTCGCACGCTGTGTTCTGGCCCAAACGTCATGTATACGTATACTTCCATTATTGGTTTAGGTTCAAAAAAGCTATTCTTAATATGGTTTTGGGAGCCTAACTCCATAGTAGTAGTGTGTATGGACCCTCTTCGTAGTGTACGAACTTAACATAGCCAAAAGTCCTTGTTGCAGGTCGCGGCTCAGGAGTCAATTGAAAACGCCGCGGCGGACCATCTTCTGCAGAACATCCGCCATGAGGCATTTAGGGTTTGGGGCTTGGGGTTAAGGGTTTAAGGTCGTGAAGTACCTGCGGAGCGAGCTACCTTCTACTTCGGAGGAGTTTGCGGCTATGGATTTTGATTTTGGTGTTATAGCATTCTGTGTGGTACAGGTACCTGGACCCCGAAATTATGAAAATTACAGCCTTTTATAGGTTTTGGGCCATTATTTTACCTACTTTTGGGGGTCTAGGTAGGCCCGTAGGTTCGCGATGCCAGAGTGGTAGAAGCCGCGCTCTTCGATAGGTCCACATCCTTACCTTTCGTTCGTACGGAATGGAGGAATGGGGTACAATTATAACTACTATTATTACCATTCTTCCATGCCCTACTAACCAAAGGTATGCATCAGGATGTCGATGTCAATGAGGTTCGAAAGCCTTCACCCAAGCTGCCCAAGCTGCAACACATGCCTACAAGGCCACAGAACTTACCTTTGGCTAGTAGGGAATGGAAGAGTGGTAGTAATAGTAGTTATAATTCTACCCCATTCCTCCATTCCCTACTAACCAAAGGTAAGAGAAGGCAAAACAGAAATCCTGGTAACGCATCACCTAAAGCCCAATCCCTTCGCCTGAGAAGATAGTCCACGCTTCTTTTGTCTCGTTGAAGGCTTCGGATGTGGGGATATGTGATGAGGATGGGTCTTGTCGGAGTAAAGAGATTTGGGATGTGGAAATCTGGGCTCCACCGGCACCTCCTAAACCCTACTTGGAGGTTCATGGGTAGGTATAATAAGTGGGGTTATAAGCAAGGTAACTATATTTATAAGCCTTAGTGGGGGCTTATAATCCTACTTATAACTGCACATGAACCTCCAAGTAAGGTCGTGCCAGTCGTTCGCTGCTTGGCCATCTTGGGTGGTACTCTGAAAATGATCCAGCAGCGGATACGTGCAGACCACCATCAGCGCATTCCTCTCTCCTTGGCAATGGTCTGGGATCCCTTCGCCACCCAGGGCTTCGCATGACTGCAGAAGGTTCATAGCAGGATGGGGCACTGCGGGTTCAGCAGCTTGGGCTGTCGCTCTGTGCAGGGCAGCATGGTGCTTCTCGCAAACTGCTGGTGCATGCCGCCTGAGTGGAAGTCGGAGAAAGAAGCGTGCAGGTGGGAGTCCAGAGATGTCTAGGTCCAGGGTGTACGGCTCAGGCTTTGGCGTTGGGAGCAGCAGTCGTACTAACAGCAGTCGCTCACGAAAGTGGTGTCGGGCGCAGCATAGTCCTCTTCCAGGAAGCAGGGATCATCTTAAGAGCTCCCTTCCTTGCTCCTTGCGCCCTTTAGGCGACTTGGATTCTCGAGCTTCTATCTGCGAGTCTTGGTGTTCGCTTCTCGAACTCACAGGAAATAGTGAGTTCATATTGAACACTATGGTCCCTATAAGCCCTAAACCCCCCAACCAACAAACTCCTAAACCCTAAACCCCTAAACCCTAAACCCCTAAACGCTAAACCCCTACGCCCCTAAACCCTAAGCCCCTAAACCCAAAACCCCGAAACCCCTAAACGCTAAACCCCTAAACCCCTAAACCCTAAACCCTGAGACCCTAAACCCCTAGACCCCTAAACCCCGAAACTGTAATCCCCTAAACCCTAAACCCTGAGACCCTAAACCCCTAAACCCCTAAACCCCTAAACCCCTAAACTGTAAACCCCTACACCCCTAAACCCTAAACCCCTAAACCTCTAAACCCTAAACCCCTAAACCCCTAAACCCTAAACCCCGAGACCCATGGTGTGAGCTTTGCATTTTCGCCTGCAGCTGCCGGGCTCGAGTTCCCCTACCGGCTGAGCCCTCCGGAGACGACTCTCTGATGTTCCACAGCTGATTCCCTGTGTGGTGCCGGTTTAGGGTTTAGGGTCCACTTATGGAGGTTCAGGGGCAGTTATAAGTAGGGTTATAAGTCCCTTAACAGGACTTATAACTATAGTTCTGCTAAACCCTAAACCCTAAACCCTAAACCCCACTTATAAACTACCCATGAACCTCCAAGAAGGGTTCCAAAACCCTAAACCCGAAACCCCAAATCCTACATCCTAAACCCTGAAGCTTGAACAGGCAAGAAGTACATCCGAAACCCTAAACCCTAAGACCTTCAAAACAAGCCGCAGTGTGAAGCGCTCCCAAACCCGAGGCTCTTAGCCATCAGAAAGGGGTCAACCTCCCATCCAAAGGCAAAGCCAACCATCAACCTAAAGCTAAAACTCCCAACCCTAAGCACAAAATTAGTCCTACTTAACCCCAAACCAAAACCCAAAACAAACCAAGTCCTTGACAGACCTAAGCCCCAAATCCGGGCAGCTTCCGCTATCGCCATGGCCTGGTTCCAAGGGGTGCTGCAGGAGCTGTTGTTTTTGTCTTGAGGGCGGGTGGGTGGGTGAGTGTGTGGGTGGGTCGGTTGTGATCTGAGGGTTGAGGCTTTAGCTGATTGGGGCTACTTTTTCAGGATCTTAATTGGATAGTTGGTTCAACCCAAAAGAGGGAACTACCGTGGAGACTCCAGGTGGGGAAACAAAAGGGGGACCCTATGTAGACCCCAAGTAGGAGGATCCTTCTTGCTGCACAGGCTTCCAGAAGGAACCTCTTAGCAAACCTAAAAACCCTAAAGGCTTAAAGCCCCTTGCCGAACCCTCCTCTGGTAGTAGCTGGGTAGGCAACCTTTAACCTTCTTTTTGGGGGTTCACATAAACCCTAAACCCTAAACCCCTAAACCCTAAACCCTAAACCCTAAACCCCTAAACCCTAAACCCCTAAACCCCTAAACCCTAAACCCTAAACCCTATTCCTACCATAAATTGTTTTGGGCTAGGGTGCTCAGCCTCTGAGCTCTCTGGAACCCGGGCCTTGTTTTGTTGACCCAGAGACTCCAATATCCCTTAATTAAGGAATATACCCTAAATTGCAGTAGGGTCCCTAATATGATTTAAGGAATCTTCCTTAAGTAAGGTATATTGGAGTCTCCGGATAAGCCTCTGCACTGGTTTTTCCCAGCTTAGAGGCCGGGCACAGAAGCTTTAGGTAGAGTTTACCTCTATGACTTGTCAATCTTGTTTCTTCTTGTTGAACCGGGGGCGGCTCGAAGGGGCTAGTGTTGCATGGTTCTTCTAAGGTTTGTGATCAAGGATGTGCTGTTTAGAGGGTTCAGGGGTCAGCTTCACGTGCGGATGGAGTTGTTCGGAGTAGCATATGTCCAGGCGACGCGCCAGAAGACATGCAACACCCGAACTCAGAGTGACCATCCATGTTTCGCAACTGTGTCTGGAGACACCGAACCCCGAACTCTTGTGCGATAATCCTGTAATGAATTCCCAGTGCTGCGATGACCTTGCTGCTTCATGATCAGAATTCGTTGTCCCAACACCCTTCACGGGGATGTTTGGTATATAGTGAATGTCTTGAAATGCCCACACCCAGTAATTATTCCTAGCTCCTAAAACTGACGCTCTTCGAACCTGGAGCCCTAAATAACTCCTGAACCCTGAAAGACCCTGAGCCAGAAAACCCTAAACCCTGAAACCCCAAACCCTAAACCCCCAAACCCTAAATCCCAAATCCCCAAAACCTAAACCCTAAACCCTATAGATCCCTTATATAAATCAACCCTTACAATACTCTTTAAAGGAACCCTAAACCCTAAAACTCTAGACAACCAGAATCCCGAAAATCTTCAGCCTTCAGCCGGTGAGCCATCTCCCTGCCCTAAACCCCGCAACCCAAAACTCCAACCACCAAGCCGCGAAGCCCCTCAACACCTAGTGACCTACTAGGATGTCCAGTAGTACCCTTATTCCCTTTTTGTAGTCCTAGGTTCCTTATAAGAGTTACCCAATACCAGAAAGAGAGGCCTTTTTATTCTTAGGTTACTGGGTATCCTAGCCTAGTTAAACCCGAAACCATGACATAATATAGGGGCCTTGAAAATTACCTTTACTCTTCTGGGAGCTCCCTATTATATTTGTGGTATGTCGGTCCCCAAAACCCTATTCTAAATATTAAGGCCCCTATATCATAGAACCCCATTATAGATCGAACCCTGTAGAGGGGCCCTTTAAAAGGAACCCGATTCTAATTATTAAGGCCCCGATATTATGCACCACAAGCCCGGAAGGATGTGAAGCAGCGCAGCTCAGGCTTTCGAGATCGTGCCTCGGATCAGGACTCAGCATGTAGCTCCTTAAAGGGATCTTAAAGGGTACTAGAAGGGATCCTTAAAGGGTTCTACCAGGATGTAACCCCTTTACTAGTTCCTTGAGGGGAATTATATACATGTATGAACCCGCACATGCACATGTATACATTCTTACGAGCACCACACATATACATACACACAAACAGAAACATGTATGCTACCCTAAGGGTCCATGTACCAAAATTGTATATGCATTGGCCTTAAAGTAGTCCCTATATAGTTAAGTACATGGGGGCCGATACTATTTGGGTACATGGACCCTTAAGGCCTTAGGGCTCATCGGAATAGATCCAGAATGTCTTCGCTGAGACGGTTGGGCTTTGGAGCAATTTGAGGCCATGCGGTCCGAATGAATACGGATAGTTCTCTAGCTCAGGGTCCCATTGAGGGTCCTGTTTTAGGGTGCCGTACTATCTTTGGGACCTGACAAGGGATCCTAGTTGACTTGATTTTAGAGAACTTCCTGCAAAGCACAGGTATAACATGTCACGCCATGTATAACTTGTGCCCAATCCCGACCCAAAAAAACTGTCGTCTCTGCTATCCTGCGCACCGTTTAAGAACCCTGAGGGCTTCGAGGGTACCTTGGGCGGTCCTGGAAGAGGAAGACCACCCAACATCCGAAACTCGCTTCACCCTGAGTCCTAAACCTTAATAAAAATCAAATCCTAAACTCTAATCTCAGGACTCGCTACTCTAACTCCTTAAAGTTAAGCCCCAAAACCTCAACCCTCGAACCCTAAACCTCAACTTTACCTATCTCAGGGGTTCGCGACGCTTCGAAGGCCTTGGCTGGGAAATCCAACGGCCCGAACCTGAGCTTTAGGCCCTTTAGGGTTTACGGTTTAGAGTATAGGGGTCTTCATACTTGTACCAAGGGGCCCGAACGAAGGATGCTAGATATTGCTCAGGCTTGTGCAATCAGGTTCGGGGCCGTAGGAGCTAAGGTTTCAAATTCGGGCCGGTGCTTTCCGAGCTATTCGAGAGTTTCAGAAAGCTAGGGGTACTTCATTTTGGGGTCCTGATAAGAAGGACCCTCTTTAATAGGGCACTATAGTAGGGTCCCCAATTTTCGGAAGCTCCCATTCAGTGTTAAGCGTTTTTGAGAGTTTGGGCTTTTTGTCCATCTAAATGTTAGAATAGCACCCGAGGAGGTTGAGTTCGCAAGCAGAAGACAACTGCATGCATGCAGGCATGACAGTGTGCGTTTGTGCACAAAGACATCTTCGTTCATACGAACAGGCAAACGAAATGCCGAAAAGCCTTCTTGAGCTTGTGCTCTTCCATGGGCCGCGAACCCTCATCCCAAGCCAAACCTTCAAACCCAAATCCTGAGTCAACCTTGATCTCAATGTCTCCGTCCAGGCACTTCGGGCTACGAAAAGGGAGCTCCCAACAGCTTCCTCTCTGCCCAGGAGTTGTGAGACATGTTGCTGACAAAAAGGGTCGTAAAAATTACCTATACTATTTTGGGGGTTCCTTATAAGAGTTATGGCAAGCATATTCTAAGTAATAAGCCCCCTGAATTACTATCGTTCAGAAGAGCTGGGGGTTCAGGCGTTCAATCTGAGAGCCTGTCAAGCTCCGCGCTCAAACCATCCTCGTGACATGCCGTAGTGAAAACCTATATGACCCAATTTCCAGACACTTCCTAGACAGCAGAATACAGCCTAAAACCTAACTAAACCCTGTAGTCCCTTAAATTCCAAGCCATGGACCCTGTCAACGGATCCCTTGAATAGAGGGACCGTTAAAGAGAACCCTATTCTAGAACCCTTTTGTAC